CCATCATAGATTCAGGAGGTCTGGGGTGGGGCCTGAGAGTCTGCATTTGCTACAAGCTCCTAGGCAATATTGGTGCAAGGGTATAGAAAACATCTGTTGTTCCATCTGCCCAGCATTTTTTCTATCTTCCTCCAGAGAAATGTTCCTTCCTCCATTCCAGCCATGAAGTTCAAGAGTGAGCTTCCATGTTCGTACATTACTTGCCTCTCAGGCCACACAGTCCATTGGTCCAGGAGCCAATTAGAATCTCTCCTAACAGTTTTGGACTTGGAACCAGAGAGAGCCAGACTCAGATCCTCTCTGTGGAGCTCTTTCTAGCTCCATGGAGGTAATGGGTCAAAGAGACAGAGATGAGGAGCAGAGTTCCCCTGTGGGTCTCAAGTCTGGGTTTCAACTAATATGTGAAAAGTGATTGAAAAATAAACAATATTGTGACCTTTGGGTTCTGTTGCCAGCTCTAGGATCTGGTGAATTTCCATAAAATGTACCAGGCACTTAGAATATGTGGGTCTGTGTTACCAGGTCTCGAACATAAACAAAGATGAATAGCACACTTGCTGGTTGAGGGCACCACACACTTCAGTAGTTTGGCATGTGCAGCGGAAGGGGTTATGGAAGCCACTGAAAGAGGCGCCTCATCTGCCCAGATATCTGGATGGGGGCCAGGTTCAGGAAAAGTTTTCTAGAAATGGATTTGGAAAAGGTGAACAGGAGTTGTGTAGGGAAGCCTATGAAATTATTCCAGGCAGAGAGAGTTTGGTGAGCAAAGGAAAGATGATGGTTTGAAACTGGGTTTTAAAAACAACTAGTGTACGTGGGAGGTGCTTGTCTGTGACTGAGGTCGCTACAGTGAAGCACCTTGTCTGCAGGCTGTGATCAGTCACTTTTTTTCTTCATCATGTGTATTTAAAGAACAACAAAACAATAACAAACAACACACCTGAATCCCATTCTCCCTCAAATACGTGACTGACTTTCTGGCAGGATCCCTCTAAAACCACTCCCCTTTATTTTCCCTTAAACAGAGCATTTGTCTTAGGATAGGAGTGAATGTTTAAAAAACAAACCTGAGATGCTTTAAATACCAAAAGCTGTTTCAGTTACACAGAGTTTGTGACATCCGTTGACGAGGCCTGGGAGCTTATGGCGCTGAGCTCTGCTGTCGGCACCGTCCGTCTGTGGCAGTCCTGGTGTGTGTTGCTCAGCTCTGAGTGTGCAAACAGGACATTCCTCAGATCACAGGACTCTCTTCCCTGGGGAAAATTCTGTGTTTATAAAAATGCTTCTTGGAAACAAGAACAATGCTTGATAGTAGCGACTGCTACTTATGTCTCTTGGATGGCAAGTCCCAAGAGTAATTTGAAGTCTTTTTTTATGAACAGATTTTAGCCACTTTAAAGACTTTTTCTAAGAAAGTTTATGCTTTTACTGATAGTCAGCTCTAGAGCTTTTTCATCATACCAAACTGAAACTCTGTTCCCGTGAAACATGAACTCCGTGTCCCTTCCTGGCCCTGATAACCTCATTTTGCTACAAGTTTGACTCTATGAGTTTGACTACTCTAGGTACATCATAGAAGGGAAATCATATACTATTTGTCCTTCTGTGACTGGCTCATTTCACTTAGCATGACATCTCCAGGGGCCATCCATGGTGTAGGGTATGTCAGAGTTTCCTCCCTTTCTGACACTGGATAATATTCCATTGAATGGATATACCACATCTGCTTATACATTCATTCATCAGTGGGCACTTGGGTTCCTTCTAAAGTTTGGCTATTGTGAGTAATACTGCTATCAACATGGGTTTGCAAATACCTGTTCAAGTCCCTGCTTTCAGTGGCTTCTTTTTTTCAAAAAAGCTGTATGGAGCCCAGGCAGGCCCTTTCTTGAGTTTCTGGCTGTAAGGGAAGGCTCAGAGCCTTGGTTCTCCTCCCTGCTGTAAAGTCTCCAGGCCCCCAAACCAGTCACACACCATCTTTGGGTCACAGTCTTCCCACCTGTGATCTAGGGAGTCCCTTCCACCTCTTGTGGTGCCCTGGGTGACTACACGTGGGACATCCTGTACCCAGACCTGCCCATCCAGCCACTCCTGGCTTGTGCTTGTTCCTCAGCAGCCTTTGAAGTGGAGTGGACTCTTAGCACAAGAAGATGCATCCTTCACACTTCAAGTGTTCTTGAGCAGCCCTGGCGGCCCATGGCATTTAGAAATCTGGCACTTTGCTGAGGCATGAATTTGAACCACACGTGGTAAGGCTGACGTGTGGGTGTGAGACACTTAGTGGGTGAGATGGGCTGGCCAGCAGCCCAGTGTCTGCCCTCGGCGAGGCATGTCAGTGGCTGCTCACCCTGCCTGTGCAGTGATTTTTGTGAAATGGGAGAACTTGGGTGACTGTGTGTGTCTGAGAGAGAAAATGCCTCCGAAAGGTTGCTGACCACTAGGGCTGGTGATGGAAGTAAAAGAAAGAGGGGAAATCTGATGGTTCCTTTTGAGTTGATTAGAAAGTGGCCCATTAACTCCACACAATAGCCTTGTAGTACAGACAACTTCTCCACAGAAATAAAGACAAACCTAGTTGTGGCATTTCTGTGAATGTCTCAGTGCACAGAGCATTTGCTCATTGAGAGGTAAGGTAGGAGACTGGACAGACATTTCCAGGAAGTAGCTGGGGGCAAAGGCACCAGGGTGGGTACTAAGTCAACCTTACATTCAAGTAAGGGCTAGTTTGAAAGTTTTAAGATGTGTTTTTCTTGGCAGAGTTGCAATTAATAGGAATAAGTAGGCCAGTTGTTTGTCTCATCGCAGACAGGATTTCTCCAAAGCAGAAGATGCTCACAGAGGAGCAGAGGCACAAGTCCCAGGCTTGCAGGACACGTGGGAGGGGTGGCTTCCCAGGCTGGAGTGCAAGTCCCGTGAGGAGGCACTCAGTGTAAGGATTGAAGCCGACCAAAGAAGGCCGAGAAGAGCTGGTAAAAAAGGGCAAAAGAGATGAAGACGATGGTGAAGAATTAGGAGACACTGGTTGGGCCCTTCATACATTTAGTGAGATGTTCTGTTACGCCTGGCTGCCAACGTCGCTGAACCCATCAGCAGAATGGAGCCTCTTTCAGCAATTCCAAGAAATACATCTTCACTGGCACCATCCCAGGAAATGCCCAGGAAGTTGCAAAAGAGGTACTAACAAGATTAACTTGGTTAAATCTAAGGAAGGCAAAAGTAGGAAGAGAAAATTGCATTAAAAGTAAGAATAAAAGAAGAGGTAATAAAAACAACCACAAATGAGATAAAATCGTATTTTCCCAACAGATAATGGCAATGAGTTGGAAAGCCCAGATGAAATACATTTTTGGAAAAAGTGAAAATGACAGACTTATGTCAAGGAGAAAAAGACCTCATTAGGACAGTGGCCTCCCCCAACTAGAATCTCTAGGTCCAGAGGCGTTCAAGTCAGGGTTTGCTTTCACACTAAACATCGTCTTCATCCACACAGGAAAATAAGCAGGGAAAATGCTGAATGGACTCACGTGGTTAGTATAACCTTGTTCCCAAACCAGACGATTGCCTTGCATGGCTGTAGAATGTTACGCCTGCTTCATTTAGGACCAGAGAGGTACACATCCTAAATAAAATGTTAAACAACAGAAAGGTGGATGGGAAGGGATGGAAGAACAGGTGCCCCGCATCATGCTCTTTAAGATAAAACCACGACTCAGCACTTTTCAAAATCTCTTTCCCCTTGTCTTTTGGTTCTGCTTTGCAACAGTCTCTCTGGCCCAGTTTCCACCTCATTTTTACTCCTGAACACAACACAGATCTTTCTTGTTATTAAGGTTTTTGCTGAAACTCAATGAGGGGAAGCAAAGAGAAAGTGACCTCAAATGCATAAACTACAAAGGTTCTAAAACCTCACAAAGTTCTATACCAAAGTTTCTTGGGTTATACTTCCAGACTTCTTTTTGAGATAGTAAGTGAATGAAGATGAGATGCATTAAACATGCTCCCTTCCTTCTGACCATATGCCTGCTGCCTTATTCCCAGCTTGGGGACCTGAAGAGCCCTCCAAGATAGCATATAACATCCCGTTGAGTGAGACAGGAGTTGACATTTCCGAGGGTGTCCAGCCTGAGTGACCCATCCAGTATGGCCTGCTTCTCACTTCTCATTGTGAGAAAGCAAGTCCTTAGGTGACTTTCCTAATGGAAGCTGTTGGGCAATACAGAAGACAAAATTCTGGGAAAAAAACCACCTTACCTTAGGAGATGTTCTGGGTGTTGGCAAAGCTGGGTCTTTGGTCCGTGCACACTCTTTGTGCCAACTTTCTAGAGGGACCACGGGGGTCCGAGTTCTGTTACTGCCATTCCATTGCAGGGACTTTCCTGTAATTTCTAGCTCTTAGAGATGTGGGGCTAACCTCTTCCCTCTCCTTTGGCTTCTAGCTATTTGCAAATAATTAATTAAGGATTTAAATGCTCCCTCTCCCAGGAAGCACCTTGTTTCTTAGAATGTGGATCATGGGCCAGAAGGATGGGGCACGAGGCCGGGGGAGAGACAGTGCTGCGGGCAAAGGCAGGTTCATGGCTAAGATTTTATCTGCAAGATCTGGGAACAGGTTAATGAGCTCAGGTGCCCTTGGGGAGTATTTGTGCACAGCTGAGACAAGGCAGAAAAGAGGGTTCTTACTGTGCCTCTGCCCTGGAGAGAGATGCGAAATGCTGGCTGTGTGCCTCCTCTGTTGAAGATCTTGGGAGTTAAAGGCTTCTTTGAAGATTCTCACCTCCAAAATAGACTAGGATTTAGCATTTTCCACACCAACCACCAAATGCTTTGCTCAGAGGCAGCACTACATGCAGGGGACTAGAAAGTGTGTGGGGCAAAGGACAAGAAGAAATGGCTGATGTCAGGGACGTGGACTAACACGAGCTAAGCTCATGAAAAATGACTGGAGAAGGTTACCAAAGTCTTGCTGCTCAGACGACCTTTTGTTGAAATTATTTCTACAGGTGCTCACAGCAGGTTTATCAGTATTGCTGTTTGATGCGATCCTGACCAGTGCGGCCGTGGGGTGGTAAGTCTTTTGCATAGAGAGAGAAAAGCTAATTCGTTCTTTGGGTTTCATCAGGATACTAATTTTTGTTCTGAAATGTTGAGGAAAGAGTGTGTGTGTTGGGTATGTATTTTATTGACATACAAATATACTCTCAGAAGAGTGCATGTATCATGTAACCTGGTGAATTTTCACAAACTGAACGTACCATGCCTACTATAACCAGCCTCTAGATCAAGAAACAGAACCTCACCAGAGCCACTCACCCACACGAGTAACCCCTGTTGGGGAACCACTAATTTATAAAGGTACAAATATATATAAACACATATTTTTATATAAGCCGCTATATATATAATTGTATGGAGGTCTTTCTTTTATCCTTCGATTCATTTTCTCTTAGACAAACTCCAAACCACCCTTGTCACTCGCTTGCTTAAAGACAGCACTGCCTCTCCTACCATAGTTGAGCAGGGACCTGAGGGAGTGAGAGAGTGAGCCATGGGGACGTCAGGGCAAACAGCACATGCAAAGGCCCTGAAGTGGGAGTGTGCTTGGTATGCTCGGGGAGCAGTGTGACCAGAGCAGGCTGACTCAGGGGAGAGCAGCCATAGGAGATGAGGCTAGAGAGGTAGTTGGCAGCTGACCATTGTAGGGTCTTAGCTTTACCCTGAGTGACAGGGAAGCAATTAGAGGATTTTGAGCAGAGGAGCCACATGCTGCTGTGTTAAAAGCACATTCCTCTGGCTGCTGTGTGAAAGTAGGCTATAGAGTTCTGTCCCTGAACCCTGCACAGACTCTGCCCATTGGAAAGCTGAGCAAGCTAAGACCTTGATCTACTCCAAATTACTTTTCAAACCCATTGATGTGATCGTTAGCAAGGGTCCGGGTAGCCATGTGCAGAGGTGTGAAGGCGAGATGGGCAGTGAAGGTGAGTTTAAACTGTTAAAACTGCTGCTGCTCCCCTTACCAGTGGGCATGCTTCATTTGGGGACTATACACTTATTTTTAAACTGTATAATAATACATGTTCTTTGTAAGGCATTTAAAACAGTAGAGAAATAAATCAAGTAAAACATAAAGGTCTGTCTGTTACCCTTTGCCCCCGCTCTTGCCCTTCATCAGAAGTCACAAGTTTGGTTTAGCGTTTAGCCAGGGGTGCATATTCCAAGTGAGGTGGGTTCTGTTGGTCTGCACAATGAAACCACCTTGAGTGGTGCTTGCCAAGCAAGGTGAGTCTCTTGTCACCAGGAATAGTTTAGTTCCCGCTGAGTGCCTGCAGACACGCAGCTTTCCTTCCCTGGGACCGACTGCCTGCAGCCTGGCCTGAGTCACTGATGCAGCACATCGGAGAGAAGAATTCATTTTTGTTGTTGCTACTTAATAGTCTTCTAACTGTGGTTTTAAAAGGAAAAGGAAGCCTGACACCACCTTAAGATAATGCCTATTTCCATTCCAGATACACGGTTGGGCAGCTTTCTGCCCCATCCCCTCCACCACCAGCTGGAATGGCATTCCAAAATTGAAGTGCACACAGTTTTAGGATAGGTTTTCACACTTTACCAGTATTATGGAAAGAAAAGCATATTGTTGCTTAGCTTTGCTCAAATAAAGCATAGCCTGAGAAAATTAGTAGTTGTAGTCATGCTTGGGATCATAGTAATCCTAAGAGCTGGTTCCCCTCACCCTTTTTGCATTTGTTTGCATGTTGGACCTGCAGAACTGTGACCTGTTTGACTCAAGGACACAGTGCTGGCTGGTGGGGCTGACGCTGGTGCCCAGCTATATGTATGTCAGACTCTCTCTCAGGACCACTTGTGACTAATTCCCTGGTGCTGTGCTAACCACAAAGGCAACAGCATCACTTTTAAAGAAAGCTAGGGAGATTCCTGCAGGATAAATGTGAGAAGAATTAGGCTTTGTGCAATACTATGATGACAAGAAATGAGTTTGCCATCTCAGGTGGCCTTGAGCTGCAAGAGGGTTTGTTCAATTAAAAGATATTTACTGAGGGCCTAACATGTGCCAGGAACCATTCTTGGATAAAAGTGAAAAATTGCTGTCCCTGTGGAGTCTCTACAGGCAGACCTCAGCGATACTGGGGGATTGGGTTCCAGACCACTGCAGTAAGGTGAATATCAAACATGCACGTCTAATGAATTTTTAGGTATCCTGTCCCAGTGCATATGAAAGTTACTTGTATGCTATACTGCATCTATTAAGTATGCAATAGACTGATATGCAAAAAAGCAATATACATTACCTTAATTAAAATATACTTTATTGCTAGTAAATGCCGAGCCTCATTTGAGCTTTCAGTGAGTCATAATCCTTCTGCTGGTGGAGGGTCCTGCCTCAATGTCAATGGCTGCTGACTGGAGTGGTGGTTGCTGAAGGTTGGGGTGGCTGTGGCAGATTGTTTACATTAGACAACAATGAAGTCTGCTGTTTTGGTTCACCCTTCCTTTTGTGAATGATTTCTCTGTAGCATGCCATGCTGTTTGATAGCATTTTACCCACAGTAGAACTTCTTTCAGAATTGGAGTCAACCCTCTCAAACTGTGCCACTGCTTTATCAGCTAAGTTTGTGGAATATTCTAGATTCTTTGTTGTCATTTCAACAGTCCTCACAGCATCTTCACCAGGAGTAGATTCCATCTCAAGGAACCACCGTCTTTGCTCATCCATAAGAAGCAGCTCCTCATTAGTTCAAGTTTTATCATGAGATGCAGCAATTCAGTCACATTCCCAGGCTCCACTTCTAACTCCAGTTCTCTTACTATTTCCACCACATCTGCAGTGACTTCCTCTACTAAGGTCTTGAAAACTTCAGTTTGTAAAAAACACAGTATCTATGGAGCACAATAAAACAAGTTTTGTCCATAGTCGTTCTTCCGCTGCCTGAGGGCAGGTCCAATTCTAAACAATACAAGACTGACAGAAATGAGCATTTCTGCTCATAGCATTCAGTAAAAGGAATTTTCAACCTCTCTGAGGAGTCCCTGATGGGGGGATTTCCTACCTCTAGAAAAGAAAAATTCGGGAACACTCCTACACCCCCCTGTTCTTCCTCTTCTGGTGTCTCCTCTTCTTCCTTTTAATAATAATAACTAACCATTTATCGAGCAACTACTGTGTCAGACATTTTTTATGTTAATATTATCTCACTGACTTTCACAAGAACCCTCCAGGTTATTCCCACTTAAAGGTGAGGAGGTTGAGGTTCAGAGATACTGAAGCAGTTCTCCCCAAGATTTAATAGCTACTAGGTGATTGGACCAAGATTAAACCCCAGCTCTGTGTGTGTCTCAGACCCCATAACCTTCATGTACCTCCCTAGAACTGATTGGGGAAACACCAAAGGTTTGCCTGCAGTGTAGATAGAGTCTGGGTAGAAACAGGTTGTCAGTGAGAGGTATAAGGGAAATCGGTCTAAATAGACCTTTTCTCACCAGTTGTGATCATCTGTAAAGAGCATCAAGATGACTGACAGCTGAAGAAGGAGCATTACCCAAGCCAAGATGGCTCTGTTTCTTGTTCAGAGGCTGACATGGTGAACAAGAACATCCCTGGAACATTTTTAGGGAAAAGATCTCATTGTCTTAAATTTATAGTACTATAAAGATATGGTTCTGTCAGTCAGCAAAAAATGTTTATTGAGTGACTGCTGCATGCCAAGTATGTGAAAGTCATGAAGAAGTATGAGATATTGTCCAGTCTCAAGGAGTTTTCAGGGGAAGGGGAAGTCATAAAGATAATTTCTGGGATAGGACAGTGACCGGATGCCCAGTGAATGTGAGCTTGGGGAAGAGGACGAGGTGTTAGGAGGGCCTTGGGACTGGCTGGAAGCTGGACCTTATGCAGAAGGGAAAGACTTGGCTCGGCTCAGGTTTAAGAGGATTTGACCCTTCTGGCCCTGGGGAGACAGGAAAGATGGAGGAGCCTGAGGTGCCAGTGGGGTGACATGACGATTTGGAACTGGAGCCAGGCTGAGGGGCAGGGAGGTAATCCTGTGTTCCCTCCTCCTCCCTCCACACCTGTCCTTCTGGGAAGGCAGACTGACACCCAAAAATCCAACTGCCAAGATATCCTGGTACATTCTTGAGACTTCCCAGATTTCTGGGGCTTGACCTTCACAGTGACAGTCTCGGTTCTCGACAGCATTTTTTCCTTCCTATACATAAGCCTTCATCAGTGATATTTTGCACTGAATTTCAGAATGAACTAAAAGAGCCCAGGTATTGAGCTGAGTGTGAGCAAGAGTGAGATGCTGTCCAGGTGGAGGGAATGCTAGGTCTGAGGGACACTGTGCAGGCAGCCTGTAAGCAGCCTTACAGAGGCCGTTCGATCCGCACCTGCAGCCGTCTGGAAGAGACAGTCTCTCCAGGCTGCTCGTATCCTGGGGACTTGATGGGAAGCCCTGAACTAAATGGAAGGAAAGGCTTGTGAACCCAAACCAAGGAACTGTATGTGTGATTATTGCAAAAGGAACCTTCACTTTGGAATTTCCTGCTTTTTGAGACCTCTGGATCGAAAGATGGTGTTTTTTAGCCTCAAAGAATTTTCCAACCACAGAGTGAACCACCAGAAGAGGATGTCAGACTAGTGCAGATGGTCTTGTGCACAGAGCTGGTCTGCCTTGTCCATACCCTGGGTGTGTTCAAGTGGGACTGGTGACTAGTTCTCAGATCTCAGGCAGGGGCAGGGCTGTGCTCTGCCCTATGGGAGCTTAGACTGATCAGAAGTCACAAAGGGTAGGGCCTGCAGACCTGTTTTGTTTGGACCTAACGGGTTTGCCTGTGTAGTTATTGTCTCTTGTTTTTGTCTTCTCAAAGTTCAGTCAACATTTAGAAATCAGGTGATTTCCCCATAAAAGACCAGATTTCCAGATTCTTTTGAAAATGTGGACCAGCTGTTACATTGGGCCTGTACTTCCACGTGGCAGCAGCTATTGGAATGGGCAGAGGCTAGGCCACGTGTGCAGAGGTTCCCCGAGTCAGCACAGCCTCCACCCCTCTGACCAGACGGTCCTGTATCAGCTGACATCTTCTATGTTCAGTCATTCATTCATTCACCACCAAAATGTACTTGCTGGGTTCTGAGGCCACAGACAGTCCATTACCCCAGGAGTCACCATCTAGGAGAGGTGCACACATGTCATTACCCACCTTCCTGGGTGGGCAGCTGCTTAGCTGCGCAAACTAGGTCACCATCTAAGGCAGAGTTTCTCTCCCTTGGCACTGGTAACTTTGGGGCCAGATAATTCTCTCTGTTGTGGTAGATGGTCCTGTGCCTTGAAGGACTTTTAGCAGCAAACCTGAGCCCCACCCTCTAGATGCCAGAAGCATCCCCTCAGTTAGAACAACCAAAAACGTCTGCAGGCATTGCCAAATGTCCTGTTGGGGGCAAAATAGCCCCAGTTTGGCATCACAGATCTAAAGGTTTGTGGTGGTTAGTGGAGAAAATGCCATTGGGAATTTCAGCATGATCTTAAGGAACTTGCTTATCTCCTAACTGGAGACTTGGGTCAGCAAAGGTGTCAAGTCCTCAGCAGCCCCTCCACCCCCTCTGTGTACAGCACCATGTACCACCTGGATGTGACAGCTGGATGTGAACCCCCGTCTCCCTGCTGACTGTGAGCTCCTTCGGGAGAGGAACCACGTTTCCCTCCCCTTTGCATTTCTCCACCTGGTGCAAAGTGCTTGCTGAAGAAATGAGTGGTCAGCCTTCTAAATACTGTACCTAAGAAAAATTATAAACCCAAGTACACATGTTGGTCAACTTTTAAATTCTTTAAGTAAGACCAACTGCTCTTGTCCAGCTAACTGTCTTGTCTTTAATTACAAAAACAATCTATTGCAAACTCGGTAATTTAAATATCCAGAGTAACATTTAATTAACAGAGTTTTATGATATATACTGATGTGAATTCCCTCTATCCCAAAATTTCAGTGAAGGAGATTCCGTACATACAAAAGAAAAAATTTCTGAGCTGGGAGAGTGGCCCTGTGGAGGAGAATTAGTTGTGAGTGCCTCTTCTTTCCATCCTATTGACTGGGAGAGTCACTCTTCTCTCTAGGGTAGTTTAGGTACTGGGAAAGAAAGGGTTAACCAAAACACAAGCTCTTTGTTCTTAGGATTCTGTGATCAGCTTCTTGCTTTTTCCAGTCATTCACTGAGCCTGCCGTCAACCATGGGTTACCCACAGGAGGGTCACTTGAACTTGATCCTAGCACAAACCTCACAACACCCACAGTCTTCCAAAAATGATCTTACATCATCTTTGAGTAAAGATGTCTTATGCCTTTAATTTTAGGGGAATTCATGGAGAGTGCCCATCTGTTTATAGGAAGAATGAATTTAGGGGTGAAGAAAGAACTTCCCCCAACATACCCTAGAATGCATTTAAGATCACAGTGACTGAAATTTATTAACTTTCCATTTGAATTAAAAATGTGAAACCCCCCCTCTTTAAAATGCTGAGAAGGAAGGGTTCTCTAAATAATGATTGCTTATTACCTCTCAACATACAGTGATTTATCATATTGTGAATGGTCATTCAGCAAGTCCCTAAGGGAATGATACCTTAGGCAGATAGGTTTTGGTGAGGAAAAGAGAGAGAAAAAGTTTGGAGCATGATGGGAGAAGGGAAACAAAGTGTAAGAATTCCATCATCCACTGAGTGCTGTACTCAGTCCTGGGAAAAGGAGTCAAGTTACCCTCTGTCTAGTGAGTAGGAATTCACTGAATAACCACCATAACAAATGTAAAGTTGAGAGGAGAGTCTTTGGCTCCCGATAGGAGAAAAGAGAAGGACTGGAGAAATGCTGAACATAAATGCTTGGAAGAGAAGCTAGTGATGAATATTTCTGGCTGAGTGTTCTCCGTAATCGGATGTTTATGCCTGAGTTACATGAAGTGTGTTCACTTCAGGAATGATGAGGCTTATAAGACTTGCAAACAGTCCAGGAAAGCTCTAACTTAAATAGTTGTAAAGCTATTAAATTCCTGCACCCTGTGACAGCAACTCCCCGCTGTTCAGAAAACAACATCAAAGCTCACCTCCCTGGCTCTCTTAACTGTAAACTGAACCAAGGGCTGTTTGCTTTTTTAGCATTCCCTACTCTGCTTTGGTGTTTCATGAAACAGCTAAGCCAAAGGGCTGAGATGCCAGGTTATTACACTTCAATGTTGTTCTAAGGCTATGGGTGTAGAGGTGGCAGAAAGCCTGCCGATGCCCTGTTCTTCACCCTGGTGATTAAGGAGGATTAAGGGAAGCTGTGGGGGTGACTGAGCCCCCACTTACATTTGCAGAAATAATACCCCCCCAAACCCAAAGCTCTGTGCAGCCCCTGTGCGCAGGTCACGGTGGCTCTGTGCTTGCCTGGGTGTTTAAGAAGGTGGTGTATGTGTCCTTCAGGGGCTGATGAAGGGAACAGCAGCTGTGTTTAGGAGAAGCCAGATCTTTGGAGGTGGGCCCTGTGTATGGAAACCATGGCTTCCCCTTCACAGTCACCTCTTCATCCAAAGAGTGAGGCAACAGAACCTTCCAGCACTGGGTCCTGAACTAGACCAGGGACAAGCACAGACATGTTGTCTTTTGGGACTTAGACCCCATTTTCTCACAGAAACAATCCTAAAAACGATCAGATCCTAGGAACATCCTTAGGGATTTACTTGGTTCATAACATAGACATTGAGTTCAGCTACATTATTACGAGTCAGCAATTTATTGACTTGCTGTCACTCGAGTATTTCTGTGAGAAGGGAGAGAGCACACCCCACCCTGGAGTGCCAGCTGTTAGGCACGCCTCTCATGCCTCCCCTTCCTGTTCCAGGGGTCAGCTGGGTGGGGTAACATCCTCTCAGCCCCTCAGTGACTGGCTACTCGACAGCGCCTCTGTACCCTCAGCCGGGGGCCATTAGCAGCAGGCAGAGATGCTGGTGGTGCGGGGGATTTCCTGCTCTCTCGGGTTGGCAGGTGGGTGGTGGACATTTGTTCTCTGCTGCTCTAGAAAGCAGAACTCGGGCCCACAGGCAGAGTTGTAGCAAGCAGCTGTTGGGTCAGTATGAAGAAGGTCTTCCTCCTAGAGGGAGGAGCCGCATGCCCAGACCTTCCACAGGCCGGATGTTCATGGATGCTGGCTTCGCCCCATGGCCAGAGCTTCTCAGCAGTGGGACTGGCTTGCTATGCACCACAGGAGGCACCCCTCACTAGAAGTCTTCAAGCAGAGGTTGGAGGCCAGCTGTGAGGGCCACTGAGGAAGGGATGCTGCTCTGGGAAGGCAGTCAACTGGAGAATAGGTATATTTATGGCTTGTCCATTATGGGCCAAGCACGGGCCGGGGTAGGTCATGATTATTTCCTACGGTCAGATGAGGAAACTGAAGCTGGATAACGTGCACAGGATATGTAACTCAGAGACGCACGAGCCACAACTGGAGCTTGGTTTTTTGCTTTTATAGTCTCACACTTAGTCACTTTGTTTCTATGCTAAAAGGGATAACTGGGATATGTTATCTTTGTGTTGGAGTCACCCACATAGGTGACATTTCTCACTGGGAGAATATAATGTGCCTGGCCTATGTGTGCTTCATATATTTGGTACCCCAGATATGTGTTAGAAATATAAAGGTGCCATAGCCTGAACATGTGTGCCTTGTGTATGCGAATATAGGACATTAGGATGTTGGGTGGTAGGTGGAAGAAGAAAGGAAGAAAAATCTAGAAGTAAGGGCCATTGGCACCTTGAACAAGAGCATTCCATTGGCAGGGACTCCCTATCATAACCCTGTATTGAGGGCCCAGCACATGCCTCAGAAGTGCTTTTTGGGATGAATGACAGATTCAGGCAGACACTAGCATGTCTACTGAGAAGTTTAAAATAGAAAATGTACAGAATTTGGATGTATTAATTTTCAGGCATTTAAAATATTCAACTCACATAATGTGGGGCGGGGCATGGGGAAGGCAGTATAACACAAAGAAGACAAGTGGTGATTCTATAGAGTCTTACTACGGTGATGGACAGTGACTGTAATGGGGTAGTCTTGATGATGGTGGCGTCTAGTAATCATAATGTTGCTCATGTAACTGTATATTAATGATACCAAAATAAAATTTTTTAAAATTTCTTTTTACCCAAATAAAAAAAAATTAATTCCTCTTTTCTTCAATCTCTAGCTTTCCCTCTACTTTTCCATTTCAAATCCCTGACCACGTTTCTTTCTGCTCTGGTTGGAAATTCATTATTCTCCATTTATATTTTCATCTTTCAATGTTCTGTTGGTCTAAATGAAATAAAAGGATTCAGAAAGCGTCACCTTAATGATGATAGGACTCCGGGATGCCTGCATGATTTCATACCCATCAACCCTCCTTAGCAAGAAAGCACCAGACAGCTTTGTGGGGAACCCTCCTCCTGTCTTTCCATCATTGAACCTCTACCTGCTCAGCAGAAGCCTGAGCTTCTTCTTGAAGGAAGGTATCAAAACCCACCTCGCATCCCAGTTCCCTCCCCCCACAGAGCGCAGGTTTACTCGGGGTGGCTGGGCAGTTCCTGGTCCTGACCTGGAAGCCAGGCAGTCTGGCCTGGAAATGGGAGTCCCGGCCACAGGGTGTCCCTTGCCCTGCTGCCTGTGGGTGTCCGGCAGCTCGGTGGTCTGCAGCCGCGGGACTCCAGGGAGCAGAGAGCTGACCTCTTGTGTTTTTGCAGCCTCCTGCTTGGCGGCCTTGGTGAACTCTTGCTGGTTTTCTCAGAGCGGAGGGGCTCCTGAAGACGATGGGAGCGCAGAAAAAGTAGGCCCGCAGGCCGCCCGCACGGTCCCTGGGCTTCGGAGCTTTCTGTGGAGTGTGTCAGAAAGAAGAAAGCAAGGAGGGAGACCACCGCTCCTCAGGGCGTCGGGGAGGACTCTTTCTGAGGGTCTCTGAGCTGCCTCGGAGAATGTGCTGTGTCTTTTCACGCGGAGGGGCTCCCTCGCGTCCTGTGGAACCTGCACGCCCACTTGTGCAGAAACAGACGCAAGATCTCCCTGTGTGCGGATGGGGACGCTCACCTGGATCAACCTGCGAGCCTTTTATTAAACGCCCTTCACCTAACACTGCAGGGCTGCCCGAAGTATTTTGTTGCATTGTTTTGTTTTGTGTTTTTACCTCTTTGCAGGCTCTTCTGGACATCCTTTCCTTGCTCTCATGCTGACTTATCTAGAGCCCCTACTTACCCTCTTATGAACTCAGAGAAAATTCCTGGTGGGGGCTTCCACTGGGGGCTGGGATGGAGATGGGGGGCTGAATGGGAGTTCTGGGCCAGGTAAGAAGCCAGCAAGACACTATTACTCCAGAGTGAGTGCCGAAGTCTTTTTGTGGTTGTGTGTTGTGTTGTATTGAATTTTGCACACTCTTTTTTGCCCACAGTTAGATAAACTTGGTACTAAGTGGTCATCAGAAGGAATAGCATTTATAAGCACTGGGCAGTGACAAACACAAACACATCTGTATGCACATACATATTTATATTCATATTCCTTAATGCTTTTGATCCATTTAATTCCCTGATATCTCAGAGAAGTTTCAGATCATTGGACACTGAAGTTTGTTTTTCAGTCCTGATCAAAATTGAGTTGCAACTCTAAACCTCGCCTCTAAGGGGTCAGAAGAAATGCATTTGCATTGAAATGGTCATTTGATTCTGAATCCACAACGAAGGTTTAAGAAAACAATGTCTAACTGCAAATATTTCTGCTCCTAGTAGGTGTTTTGAATACCTTACTTCTCTGCAGGTGTCAGGGTTGGTCATTTTGAGGTGTAGAAGGTAGTGAAGTCCAGTGAGTCCTCTCCGGGCAGGCAACCAGGCCCTGCAAAGCTGGATACTCGTGTCCCTGGGGGAGAACTGTCCTCAGCATCTGGAAAATAAGCCTTGTTCATCCTGTGAAAAATCAGGTCAACTCAGACTGTGCTCATTCTTTCTGCAGGTTTTCTCCAACTCGTTGAAAAAAGCAACAGAAAATGAAACAGATAGGAATTGACTAGTACGTTTGGAACTTGAGTACCTTAAATTCAATTCTTTGTCTTTTCCTGCTCTCTGCTTGTCATTTAAGGTGAAGATGTTCAGAGTGAGACCTTTACATATATATATTTATATAATTTCAATTTGCTTTTTGTCTTTCATCTGAGGCATCGAACTTTCTAAAGGCAAGGCCAAACAAAAATCTGAGTTTAGCATTTTCCTTGTTCTTCTGCTCCCACAAAACTCTCTCTGTACATTTGAGGGCAGTTCTCCTCCATTTGCAGAAAGTGGCATCTGTCCAAATGTCATGCTATGCCTGCCTTTCCACATGCTATTCAAGCAAACGGAGATTCTCAGGCTGGAAAGAACCATGCACAGTTTATAAGCCCTGAGCCCTGTTTCCGGCAGGACTGACTTCAGAAACTTTGGCTGCAAAGTTTTAGACATTTTTTTAAAAGAATCTCTAGCAAGGATTTTTTGTTGTTGTTTCTGTTTGTTCGATTTTTTTTTAAATTGCATTCCAGAGTCCCGTTGTTTTTAAAATCTCAGGCCTTTTCTTACTTGACACAAGGCAGAGGATGAGGTTTTTCTTCCATATAACATCCTGTTTTCTTCAGCTGCCATCTCTTCTTGGGCTTTTTTCTGCAAGTCTTAACCACCACCTTTCATGGCCAAGTTCCCATGCCCCACTCTGAATGCAGAGTGAGCCCAGAGGTCTGTAAATCAGGGGCTAGCCCAGATAACTGCAGGCGCCTTAGCGCTCATTTTCCTGGGCCCCGGGCCCCCAGGGAGGGAATCTCCAGCTACCCCAGGCCTCCCTGTTACCCAAATGATCAGTTGGGATATGTCCTGTCTGGGTCCTGATGACCTTAGGCCTTGCTGGCCCCACACCAAAGCCAGAGTGTGGTCTTTTTTTATTTGTACAAATAAATAGTATGCTTTCTTTCAAGAGAGGCAAGATTTTGTATGATTGTTATCAATAATCTGCTATAGATATAAAGAAAAATAAACGTTTGTTTTTTTTTTTTATAATTTGCCTATCTCTTCTCTTCAACCTTGGCAGGAGAATATTGGGCAAAGTTTGTTATCCTTGGGAAGGGAGTTCTTGCATCTTAAACACAGGCCAGACTTGGACCAACATCCAGGCCACTTAGCTCTGAACCGGGAGGGCAGCCCAGACCTGTGCTGTCTGTAGTCACGCATGGCTATTGAGCACTGAAGTGGAGTGGGTTCAAATTCACATGTGCTATAAATATAAGTACACACCAATTTCAAAGATTTAGTAATAAAAAAAGGGTGTAAAATATTTCATAAGGATTTTTATTTTGATTAAAGGATATAAAATGTCTCATAACAATTTTTCTATTTGGTATACTGGGTTAAATAAAATACATCATCAAAATGAATTTCCTCATTTCTTTTTACCTTTTTTAATGAGCCTACTAGAAAAATTTAATCTTTCTGACTCCCATGATGCTTCTGTTGGTCAGTGCTAATCTGGAGCAGTTTATTTACACTGGGGCCAAGGAAGTGGCAAAGGAGAGGAATGCTGCCAGCAACTGCTGGGATCACCAGCCCAATGACAGTATGGAAGACCGTCACTGAGGGCTTGCTATATGCCATAAACTGTGCTAGGTCCTTTGTTTTTTTTTGTTTTTTTTTAATTAAGGTATCACTGATACACACTCTTATGAAGGTTTCACAAGAAAAACAATGTGGTTATTACATTCACCCTTATCATCAAACCCCCCAACCCCATATCCCATTGCAGTCACTGTCCGTCAGTGTAATGCCACAGAGTCCCTTTTTGTCTTCTCTGAGCTACACTGTCTTCCCTGTGACCCCACACACACCATGTGCACCAATCATGATGTGCTAGGTCCTTTGTATGCCTCATGTCATCCAGTCTTCTCAATGGTGGACAGGCAGCATTGACCCCATTTTACCAAGGAAATTCAGAGAGATTCATAACTTTTCCAGGTCACCCAGCAAGGGCTGAAACGCAGGTCTTTCTGATTAACCCTGTTCTTTTCATTTTCACCTTAGAGTGTTCTGTTGAGAGGGAGAAATGAAGTCCCCCCATTTTATGGGGGGTTGTCAGTTCTCTGCGAAGTGTCTCCATGTGGATTCCTAATATCAGTGAGGTCATTTGTGACTTCCTCCTTGGAGGCCACATGCCCACCCTTTGCCAAGGGGCAGGGTCTGTGGCCTGAGTCGCAGCTGCCCTCCCAGAACGTCCCAGTCCCCCCTAGCCTCCCCCTCACGTCGTGTCTGAGATCTGCCTGTGTGGGGTTGGAGCAACCAGGAGCACGGTGTGATCTGAATGCGAGGATGGGAAATAACATTTGTACATGTCCATGACGCTCCAGACAGCATGCAGGTGCCTCCACACATGGACTCTTCCCACCCAAGAATGGTCTGTCTCACAGATCAGGCCTCCTAGACCCTGACAGGACAGGAAACAGCCCATCTGCCCCAGCCCCTCCCATGTCCTGGGTCATTTTGCTCACTTACCTCACGCCTCCTCCCTCCTACCCACTGGGGTCTGAACATACCAGAGGAGCCAAATCTCCAAGAGCAGCCCTTGTGTAGGCCCAGAGCAGGGCTGTGCACTGTGGGGTGTCAGCCGCCTGGGCCCCATGCAGGCCACCTGCAGGGCAGCTCCTGGGGCCTCTGAGCAGAACAGCAAACCACTGGGAAGGCCAGCCAGTTCTGGAGTTGGCATAAGGCTCCCTCTGTTCTGGAAACATTTCAGAGCCAGCAGACATCCCGTGCTCCCTGGTGAAAGGAGGGATTCTTTTCTCCTGCTGTGAGCTGATTTTTGGTGGCCTGACGGGTGTTAGCTTGCCTTTAGTAAAACAAACAGTGGTGTATAAACCTTCATCCAGTTCCATCCCAGAGCCACTGGGGAGGAGTCAGGGGAACTGCACTCCCTCCACCGCCCAGCTCCTCTCCCTCAGCAGCTGAGGGTGGAATCCCATTGAAACAACTGCCTGAGCCAAAAGGAACACTTGAGTCATTTATTTCCTGCTTGCTGTGTGCATGCACAGCCCCACGGGCAAGGCCTCTGTGCCCACTAGTCTTCACACCGTCGCTTGCCTTGGGGAGAGCAGCGGTGTGCCGTAATGTAGGCCTCAGAAATCTGGGGACTTGATCCGGGCATCATTCCCGGGCCAGGGGGTTTGCATGACAACTCCAAGTTAAGGGGCGCTGTCTAGGGAGAGGGCTCTAGGTCAGATGGAGAACCTGGGGTTTGTCCCTGGTGAGTGAGGTCGTCCACAACTCTGTTTCATCACAGACAGAGGATCGCCCACCGGCTCTGGTCTTGGTCTCAGATGTCTCTGTTTTCTCAGCAGACCTAACCGGCCATCCTCAAGAAGCCAGCCACTCTGTTGCTGGAAGGGAAAGGCTTGGCTCTTCACATAGACGAGGCTGTGGACAAATCCTGCACACCTCAGGGAGGCTGGGAGTTGCCCCTGGCTCCAGCGGGAACTCCGGTGACTTTCTGAGTGATTGTGGATCTGTAGCAAATGCACACTCCCTGTTCCCGGATGCCCTGGCCTAGGAAGGTGGAGGAAGGCTCCACGGTTACGTCCCACAGGTGGAGCCACTGCCACGTGCCTGCCTGTTTTTGTGTTGGTATTTGGCTCCTGAGATGAGGGGCCTGGATAAGGAAACACCACTGAAGTGAGGAGGCAGTCCCTGCAGGCACAGTTTTGATAGGTGCAGACCAGCTCCCACAGTTCAGTGAAATACGTCAGCCTCAGACAATGTGGTTTAGATCTCAGTTCATGGTAATTAACTGGGAGTGAGGCCCAGGCCACTGGGCTCGCAGGCTGACTTGGGGTGGGCCTGACCTGACCAAAAGACCCACAGTTTGAGATTCATTTTTTTAATAACAGCTTTATTGAGATATAATCCACATGCCCTAAAATGTACCCATTTAAAGTGTGTGAGTCTGTGGTTTTCAGTATATTCACAGAATTCTGCCACCATCACCATGATCTAATTTTAAAACATTCATCACCCCAGAAAGAACCCTGTATTCACTGTCATTCCTCTCTCCCCACTCCTGCTGATCCAGGCGATCCACTTTCTATCTGTCCAGTTTGTCTGTTCTGGAGATTTCATATGAACGGGGCCCACCCACCTTTCTGACCTCATTTTAACTTGATTGCCTCTTTAAAGACTCTATCGCCAAATAATGTCACATTCTGAGGTACTCGGAGTGAGGACTCCCAACATATCTTTCTGGGGGTAGGTGGCAGGAACACAATTCAACCCATAACACTTAATCAGTTTTATTTGAGTAGCTGTGCACACAGTTAACAGATATCTTCTCAGCCTTCCCTGTCACCCAGGCAGCTTATCAGACTAGGTGTTAACCAAGGAGATGTAAGCAGACATTGGCAGGAGAGACTTACGGGAGCTAGGTTCCTTAAGAGAACTCAGATAGTGTAACTCCAGGGAGAGGAAATCCCAGGGCAAAATACCTCTAAAACCAAAATCAGTCAAAGGGAGAAATAAAGTTTAAAACCTGTTTATTGGTTACAAACTGCGGTCCAGGGCCATTTCTCTTCCTGGCTCTGGCAGAATCCAGCAAAACCTCCCCCTAACCTCTCAGGTTCAGATAAGCCCTAGGTTGCCCAGGTAATTACCCATTGATATGGAGATGAACTCTTCTCCACCCCTGAGGAATGCCTGTTAATATATAGATGCACTAAAGCCAGGCGAGATATTCTGGAAATATTAGTTGTACCCAGAGATAGGTATACCTTCTGCCTTTCTCCTGCTTCTTGCCTGGATTAAGGACATAATAGCTGGAGTTCTGGCATCCATCTTGGGCCTTGAGACAACCTTACAGTTGGAAGCTGTGGTCTAAGGATAGTGGAGTAAAAGCTATGAAGACCTGGAATCTCTGAAGACACCTTGGAGCTACCATACCAGACATGGACTACCCACCTCCAGCCATTTTAAGTGAGAGAAAATAATAAAGTTCTCCTTTGCTGTTTCTAGTTCCTCGCAGCCAAAGGCAACCCGAATGGGGTCTCCACAGAGCCAATACAGAGCAGTGGGAAACATGTACTAACACTCTGGGGAACCAGACCTGGTTGAGTGCACTTTCTCTGTTCCTATACACCCAGCTGTCCCCCAGCATAGAAATGGCCTCTCTACTTGCTACCACCCCCTACACTGTAAGCTCCTTAAAGGCAAGGTCCGTGTCTGTTTATATTTGTGTTGGCACAGTGCCTGCACATAGAAGGTGCTTAGTAAGTGTTGACCTGAACAGCTTTTAAGTCCTCTACACTTAACAGCTCTGTGGTCTTGGACTCTGAGTCTTAACATCCTTAATGATAAAAATAGAGGTTGTAAATGTTTTAAAGATAAAATACAATTAAATATTTATAACATTTATCACAATGCCAAGCATGCATTGGATGCCCAAGGAGTGCCATTATTAGTACTATGATTATGTTCTCTACAAAATTCCTGTGTGGTTACAGTATGATGTTCTACTTATTTCTGACAACCAGATTTTGCTTTTTCCTAAGACCAAATCTCTCACTTACACACATTGTGTTCATTAGTTCCCCTTCTTATTCCTTTGCTTTCTTTTGGTCTTAAGAACTTCATCAGCATATGAGTTCCTAGACTGCCTGGGTTCCCTTTCTGAAACCTTCCAGTCTGTCCCTTCTAGTGCAGGTAAGGCTTGCATGCTCAGCCAAGGTGTTAGGCAGAAGAATAGAAATGAGCAGGGTGGAGAGAGAATTAAGACCAGTAAAGCTCACTAAAAGGTACTCAGAGAGTTAACCAGTTAAAACTAGAGAGTGAGAAAAGACTCACAGAGTTAATGAGTGAATCAGTTGAAGCTCCAAAGGCCTGGAGTAACTTGGAATGTCCAAATAGTCCCCAGAGAAGGTTCCTGAGTACAGCCCATGTCTTCATTGTGTCAATTAGATCATGCCATTGTAAGATTTATTTCAACCTGCTAAAAGGCCCAGCTTGTTCTAACTTAACCTATATACT